CCCCAAAACCCCAAAACCCCAAAACCCCAACACCCCAAAACCCCAAAACCCCAAAACCCCAAAACCCCTAAAAATATTATAAAAATTGAGTTATATAGTCGGAAATAAAATGAATGCTCCAACGTACATAGAAAAGAATTTAGGGAAAAAGAGAGACGAAGAGAAGAAGTACGAACTCCACACGAAGAAACTCAAAGAAATCCAAGAGCGAGGCCCCAAGAAGAAGCCGAAGGCGGTCCCGACCATCGGCAAGAAGCTCAAAGACCACAAAGACAAGACCCAGCAGTTCATGAAGAACGAGAAGAACGCAGAGATCAACAGGGAAAACAAGATTCTCCTCGACAAGCTCGTCGAGATTTCGAACGGCAAGTTTTCGTCCGTGAGCAAGCCCGTCAAGAAGGCCAAGAAGGCCAAGAAGGCGGTTCAGACCAAGAAGTCGCTGAATTACGAAAAGAGGAGGAAAGAGTTCGAGCGGATCGAGCGAGAGAACATGGCCATTGCTCAGCGTCTCTACAACAAAGAAAGTTCAATTTCCAAGAAGAAGATGGACAAGGACTTCAACACCAACGAGGTAAGTGGCTTCCAGCAGCATGTGTCTGCTTCATCTCCATCCACCTTCATGCATCTTCATGTATTCGGCCAGCATGCTCGAGGGCAGCCAGCAAGCTTGTGCAATTGCTAACAGTTCGATAGAAATACAAGAAGCAAATCCAGAAGCTCAAGGCAGCCAACGCCAAGAAAAAGAAGGCCAAGAAGACAGAGGCAGAAGAACAGAAGATCGAAGAGGAGAAGGCGCTGAACGAAGACGAAGCGCCTGATACATTAAGTCAGCAAGGTCAGTCTGGAAATCTGAGAAATCATCTCGAGTTGCTTAAAGACCATTCTCATTTCAAATTAGTAGATTTAGCTTTTAATTAACTGACAAAGAGCATCTCTCCTAAATCTTTTACCAAAATTTCTTCATTAAAATGTTGATTTACCTTTGATGCAAAGTCAACACCATTAATGCTTCTCTCACTTTATTTTCTTCATGAAATTTCTCAATATTGACAATACAGATGGAGACGCAGAAGACAAACCTGCTAACGATGAAGCTGACACAAAAGACGCCAAAGAACCTGACACCAAAGCCGAAGACCCTACCGACAACGACAAAGCTGACGCTCCTAAAGCGGAGGATGGCGAGGGCAACAAGAAGTCGGAGGGAGAGCCAGACTACGCTGTCGAGTAGCCCCACAATGAGGAAGGCTAACAGTAAAATTCAAGAAAATTCTATTTAGCCATAGAATAATGGGGTTTTGGGGTTTTGGGGTTTTGGGGTTTTGGGGTTTTGGGG